ATCACCCAAGATTTTGTGAAGCTGAAGTGTGATAGTCAAAGTGCCATTCACTTGGCAAAGAATCAAGTTTTTTCTGGAAGATCAAAGCACATTGAAGCAAGATATCACAGAATCAGAAATTGGGTGGAGTCTAAGGAGATTTGGATTGAAAAGATTCATACGGATGACAATGCCGCAGATTTCCTTACAAAGATAGTGTCGGCCAAGAAGTTCAAGCATTGCTTGAACTTGATCAATCTCGTTGATTGATTAAAGTGGAGCACCTCCTCACTTGAGGTGCAATGAGGCAAGAAAAAGATTGTCAAGGTGAAGACTCTTGAAGATTTCCAGAGCTGCTTCAAGGAGGTTCAAAGATACTCTGGGGTGCAACGATCAAGACTTGGTTTGACTCACCAAGGTGGAGATAATATGCAATGTGTAGACTTTGCTTCTTGCATGTTGAACTTCTCAAGAACTTTCTGAATATACTTGGCTTGTGATATCCAAATCCTTCCAGCGGTCCTATCTCTCTGAATTTCCATGCCAAGGATCTTTTGTGCTGCACCTAGATCCTTCATGTCGAACTCCTCGCTCAACATCTTCTTCAAGTCTTGAATTCTAGACTTGTCTTGACAAGCGATTAGCATGTCATCCACATATAACAACAGCAATATGACCATCCCATCTTGGAATACATGATAGTACACACAACAGTCATATAAACATCTTCTAAGATTGATTTTCAGCATGTGATATTTCTGCTAGTGGGTTTCCAGCGCCCGTTGGCCCCTTGCTACTTGTTTTTGGCATCTATTAATCTCCATTCAATATAGATTTAGCCTTTGATTACAGGGGCCAGTTCTCAAAGAAGAGGTCAAGAGTTTTGATCTTTCAAGGGGTTTTAAGAGTAGCTGCCTCTATGGATTTTGGTTGGAAGGAAAATTAGCTAAAACCATGGTCAGACTCCCTTGCAATCTTTGAAGGGGTTTTAAGGGTAACTGACCTGGGACTCCGAAGGCTAGGGGATGTGGATGCTGATGGTAATGTGAAAGGAGGTATGGTAACGGATGGTTCACTAGATGATGAAGGTTTTGACTGATCTTTGATGAACGGCCGCCTTGCAAGGATGAACAGTGCAGGCCTTGGCACGCTGCCTTCATGATTAAGCAGTTGGGATGATCACGTTCACTTGGGTTTCTGATGTCTATGTTGAAGCAAAAATGATGGCCCAAGGAAGAACCGCTCACCGCTTATTGATCATCACAATGATTATTACAACTCTAGGTGTCAAGGACATGAAATTTGTCATGAGTGAGGCTCATGGATTACTTTTGGGTATTACTTGACGATATAGAAGTGGTGGGAAAGATTCAAGGCTGAATGAGTGAATTAAAAATTTAGCTAGATGGGTTGAATTATTTGGTATTCCTGCCAAGTAGTTTCACTAATGTGCCAAGGAGATGGGATTTCGTTGGGTCGAACCTATAACATTGAAGCCCAAACAGTGGCCTACATAAGGGGAAATATGCTAGGATATGTGTGCAAATATGTGAGGATAGATTTTACTAAGCCACTACAATCCCATCATCCGGGTTGATGGGCCCTCCTAACTTAAACGTGTATGCTTAGATCATATTACTTCAGATGTAGCACCTTCAGGCATGAGCTTGAATGTTATATGGTGATATGGGATGAGATAAAGATAATACCAGAAATCTACTAGTGTTAATATGGTCCTCCTTGCCATAATTGGCTTAGAGCTTATGCAAAACCATTATGGCCTTTGAGCTCGTATGTCAAATGGTGAATATTTGAAGAATCATGATCTTATGGAGATGAGAGGTCTTAAGTGGTGAATATTTGAAGAATCATTATGTTATGGAGGGGAAAGATCTTAAATGGTGAATATTTGAAGAATCATGATCTTGTGGAAAAGAGTGCTTTTTGGTGCCCAATCTTTTGAGAAAGGTCTTAAGTGGAAAATTGGAGTTGGAGACCTGTCAAATTTTGGACAGTTGAGTGGACTGGCATTGGTCTGATTGAGCGGTATGCTCAGCATCCTTTGGATCAATCCCAAAAGATTGACCTAGTGCTTGATTTCCTACAGGAGAATGGCTGGAATTTTGAGAAGTTGTGTAATGTTTTGCATGTTGAAGTCATTCAGAGAATTTTGGGTATCTATGTGGCTATATTGGAAGTGTTATGGATAAAACAATCTAGGTTGTTAGTCGTAATGGTTGGTTCTCAGTTGGTTTTGCTTACCTTGTCTATGTTAAAAATGATTATGATTCTCAGTGGAGATGGGGCTTTATTTGGATGGCTAACCTGTAATAACCCGATCCTAAATTAATATTTAATTATTAATTTATTCAAGTCAAAGACGAATTTACCCTGGGAATATTTTAATGGTTTAAAAGTTTGACTTTTCGTTTGGGAAGGAATTTAGGGATTTTAGTTGCACCGTTGCGTAGAGCACGTCGAGATGAGTCCGTAGACATGTAGTGGGCTCAAATTGAAGTTATAACGAAGAAGTTACGATCAAAAGAAGTTCAGTGGCACAACCGTAATTTTTGCGGAGTCAGATTTTTTTAAAGCCGACAGCTCTCTCTCTTCTACCTCATGACACTCTCTCTCCTCAAACCAGAAAAATCCAGTTTTTTTTTAATTTTTTTTCTTTCGCGCAGTTGCCACTTCCCGGCTAAGTTCCGGCTTCGTCCGACGTCGATTGGCGGTGCTTCCTTCAAGAAAGTTGCTCTCCTCCTTCTCCTCTACAAAACCCATATGATATCTACTCTTGAAAGCCTAAGAATTCTCCAAATTTTGGATGTGAAGATTGACGAAAAATCTGCCATATTTTTGTCAAAACTTTACGGAGTTCATTTGTGCAATTCCGGCCACCAAATCTTGCGATCTCCTCTCAATGTGTTCTAGTTGTTGGTTGGGTTATTTAGGAACGATTTCTGCATTTTGAAACAAAAATAAGCGATAAAAGTTTGGCCGGTTTTGGCGTCCAATTCCGGCCACTTCCGTCGACACTTTGAGATAGGTCCAAGAACCTAAAATCATGAAATGATAAGCCAAACATTAAAACAATGGCTACTTCTTTAAATACATCATCATACTCTGACAGATTGTATTGTCCACTCTTAATTCTGACAGATTATGAATTTTTACTCTCACGGGAGTATCTCAAAATCATGTCAAGTTTGACTATGACAGTTATAATTTATTTTCTATCATAGGAGTATTGTAAAACCATGGAAGCTTTCAGATGATTAGAAAACTAGCACAGCTTCTATCTTACAGATTTTAAAGTTCTAACGAAACTCCTATACAACTAAATGCTTAAAGACTGGATCTAGAATCTGGAATCCAAGTGAGCAGCCCATTCATGAGCTTTATGGTCTTACCAAGTAAGTTGGTCATAAATATTTTCGTAACCTTCATTCAATATCTTAGCTACATGCACACCAAATCCTTAGGAAGTTTTAAGCCACTTTATCAGTATTATGGTCTAATAGATTATGCAGACCGGGTGTGTAGTGTCTCAAATATTGCCAGAGTACTAGCCTTTACAAGCTTATAGGTTGCATAGATGCACTCGTGGAATAATTTCTGCTCAAAAAACTTGTCCAATCTCAAGTTATAGGTTTTTAGAGAATGCATATGAAGAACCTGATTCCGAATGCCTCAATTTAATACAGCTTATCTTAGTAAAATCTTCAGATTCCTTTAGTTAACTATGATGCAAGTAATAAAAGTTCAGGTTAAAAGGGTAAAAAAGTAAAAAATCTAAAATATTTGTTCTGTCTACCATCTCTTGAATAGAAGAAGAGAGGCATGCATGGACTTAACATGATAATAAATTACTATATAGGTAAACATGAATTTAACATGGGTGGTACAATTTTTAGTGAACCACAAGTTTAAGGGCTTGTCAATTTGAAGTAAGAAAAAGATATCGATGAATGCAGAACAGAAAAAACCTCATGGTGTACAGGGAGCGTGTGCCAAGAGCTACTATCTCATAATGATAAAACCCAACTTTGAAACCTACATGTATAATATCTAAGACATGAACCTTGAAAGATCAATAACAATTGAATTCTAGTAGGAGTTACATGAACTTTAATTCCTCTCATTCATGGTTCTCAGACATAGATTTATTGTAGCCTTCTCCAATCATAACACTCTATAGGGTTTTCCTCTATATGACCTGAAAAAGATTATACCAAGAGCCCAAATATAATCTAATTTATCGAGACCATACTAACTTAATTATTTTATCAGGCATTTACGATGTTTACTTGCAAAGTAAATGTTTAAATTTTAATTTTTAACAGAATGAGCTCTTATAATCATGCAACACTGGCATCTGCTTGAGTTTGATCAATAATTATAGAAGTACGCTTTTGATGTCTTTCACGTTTTTCTTGTCAGATAGATGAGAAACGAAGGCTTGCTTTGGTGGAAGAAGAGTTGCAATCAATGAGATATCACCCTTTAAGAGACCAAAAGCCAATTAATGGCAGGGAGGTTGAATTTAACATCAAGAGAAAAAAGTTGAAAAAATGTAAGGGTCAAAGTTCTGCTTTTGGTTCTTTCAAATCTCTTTCCTGTTGACCTTTAAAGCCTCTTTTTGGTTCTTTAAACATAAAATTCTGTCTACTTTGTGTCTTCATATAGTTGAGTAAAGTTATGTATGATTACTAGACTGCATCTGTTCCATCAACCAGACATAAAAAGGCAAATCCTCTATAACTACAAGTCTGCTAATAAAAATATGCATATAATAGAGTACAGTCCCACGGTAAATTGGCTGTCAAATCGTTAAATGATGTTTTTTTTTTCCTATGAATTTTAATGTTTGTAGCAGGCGTTCTTTATGTTATGTTTTGCTTTCATATGTATCCAATTCCCTAAACTCATTTCCAGAATTTAATCTCCAGTGTACTTCACCTGAATTATTTATTCATTTTGATATAATATTTATGGTTTTCTGCTTCTGTTGGTGACAACCAGTATTAAAGGATTAGGATTGATCTTGGAAGTAGTTGAGTATTTTTGGAAATTTCTGAATGTTGGGGCTTAAAGGTTGCAGTATTCCCTTTGGTATGAATACCAAAATAATATGACTCTATATTAAATGATCTGAATGCAGAGTAGTTGTAGGATGACTAGGATCCACAATGAAGAAATTGTTTTAATTGTTGTATCCTCTATTGTTCTTGTCAATGCTTAATCAAGGGACTTAATTTCCCTTTATATGAATTGTAATTTTGATGTCTGCGTGGAGCACCAGCTTTGAAAAGGTAGGAAGTCAGATAGGGTTGCCTACACCTACATTTAATGTCCCAAAATTCAGTCATTGTAACCTTAAGCAAATAATAATATTTGCGATGGGTCATTGTTTTTCCAACTTCGCTCACTCCTTAGGATCATCTTAGCTGTTTTTGTTGATTTGTATGTGTAGATTATGTGAGAAACATTGTCTTCCTGTTTAACTTTCCTTAGTATACATATGGGACGCCCCAAAAAGGATCAAAACTTTGGGCAGTTTCCAAAATAATCTGTCTCATTCTATGAATTTTCTGATGGAAAACAAATACTAACACCTGAAGTTGTTCGGTTCATTGTCCAGGGAGAGAACCTTAGATGGGAGATTTCCTTAATCAACTGACTGCATGGCATGCTTCTTGTGTCAGTAATGCCATCCATTTCTGCTACTGGTATGTGCTATGGTCAAGGTTTATTTCAATGACGAGTGCATAGAATGCTTCATGATGAGCGACTGAACTGGTTGACGGGTGGCTCTGATTAGCGTTGCAGCAGGAGAATTCATATTGTATAACTAATTGATGAGGATTTCTTGGGAAGAAAACATATGGTAAATATCTGGCACTAATTCTCTATTTACCTTCCTATGACCTTTTACTTGTGCGATTTTCTCATCAATACACCTTGAATTTTTGAGATGCAAGATGCAAGACCTTGTATTTTAAGTGGTCCATTTTAATGATGTCTAATAATTTTTATTTCAGTGAATATTACCATTCAGCTCAAAAGAGGGGGAGAGTTGGATACCAAGGAATGCCAAACTTCTAGAGAATAAATGCTGAAATATGCAATTGAAGTGAGCTGAATTCTCTGCGATGGCCTGAGCCTCCTTCAACAGTTCCTTGTTTCAAGATAGTTATATCTAGGCATGGCATGGTCCGGTTCAGCTAGGTTCTCAGCCAAAACCGGAATCAAAATTGATACTGTTCATCTGGTTCGGTCTGGTTTGGGTTTTAAGTAAAATGCCAAAGAAAATCGGACCAACCTAGATCGGTTTAGGTTTGGTTCTGTTCCAGTTTTCATGGTTTGGATTGGCTCTTTAGCCTAATTGATATTTTTACAAAAAGTAATGGAGCAATTCGACGAATCTGTACAGCAAAAACCAGATCTGAACCTTCTCAGCCAAAAGATACTTAAAAAAAAAGGAAAAGACTATCCAGCAAACTATCCTTTGAAACCAGAAACAAATATTGACATTACAAGATTTATAATAAAAATGAGAATCTAAAGAACACTAAAAGACCAAAACAAATCGATGCATAAAAGGAGTAAGAAACAGAAAAAGAAATCAGATAGAGAGGAGAGGAGAGGAGAGGAAGAGGAGAAGAAGAAAAGGAAAAGAAAAAAAAAAGTGGAGAAGTAGAGGCTAGGTTTTCTTCAAAAGAGAGAGAGAGAGAAGGCACCTGACGGTTAGGGTTGAGAAATGAGAAAAGAAGAAAAAAAAAAAAAGGGAAGAAGATTAAAAACATGCTTCTCAGTCTTGGGAAGATTCAAAAAAGAAAAAAAGAGGAGAAGATAATGGAAGAACGGGAGAGGAAATAGGCATGCGGCTAGGTTTTGGATTTTGGCTGAGGTAGTATTAAATATTAATTAAAAAAATAAGATGTTGGGCTTGAGGTATAATTGATAGGTTTAAGCCCAATTCCTTGAGCTTCATGTTTCAAACGGAAGGTTGAGGTAAAATAAAGCTCACTGCATATATAAAAATAAATAAATAATAAGTATATTCAAGAAGGCCCGGTTTGCCCTGATTCGGTTTTTGGAGGCATGGAATTGGAATCAAAATCGATCCGGTTTGATTTTTTATCGGTTGACTTTTTGGTCAACCTGATTTTTTCCCCATTTTTTCCAGTGCAAGTTTGGCTCTGGTTTTTAGTTTGCCGGTATGAATGCCTACCGTTAACTTATATCTACCAGTATAGTTAACTGGTTAAAGTTAGAGGTTTGGAACATCACCAAGTTTTATTTGAGTTTATAATAGCCACTTTAAAAATCATTTATGACTCTTCTTTTTTAGCAAGTCGGGTAAAATTCTGATTTCATTTTATTGATATATAGGTTTATATATATATAGTCTCCTATTGAGGGATCCCTCAAATAATTTTATTTGAAGACACCCTTTGGGGTCCCTATGACATTTTTTTCAATGATCCAAACTATCTATTTTTAAGTCTTCATTCATAGATCATTCTTGCAAAAAAATCATGCAAATTGAAAATCATTAAGGCATCTAATTGAGACCAACAAAATATATGAAAATTCTAAAAAATAGATAATAAAAAAAACCAAACCAAACAGAATCGATCGGTCTAGTTCGGCCAGTTTGGCCAGTTTTTGGTTTGAAAAGACCATCCTTAATTCACACAACAACCCGCTTAGCAAGTTCTATGCATTTATGTGAATGGGCAATGATTTTCCCACTCCTATTTTATCCACTTACACTCCTTTTTTAGTTATAAAAAAGGAGTGTAAGTGGATAAAATAGGAGAAAAAGAAGTGGGGAAATCACCACTCTATGTGAATTAGGCCCACTCAAGCTTGTTGGGTGGTTTGGCACTAAAGAGGGGGTTGCTAGGCGTTGCATGTTACTCGCGTGCTTGTGTTTGTACTCAGGCTCGGATTTCGTTGTATTGCAATGACTTAAACAAAAAATTCATAGATTTCAAATAAATTTAAAAACTGAATGGAAACTAGTCTATAAAACAAAAAACCCAACTACCAAAAGAGATCAGCTTTTTATACTAAAAAAAAATGAGATTCAAAATGCGACTTTTAACTATGCACCGAGAAAAGGGTCATACATGCAATGAGAAAAAAATACAATATTTATACATATATCAGCAACAGTGGGTGGTGCAGGCGCAACAATTCCAGCCATGAGAATAAAAACAGCAACTGGAAAAGTAGTCATAAGCAGAAAGCAGGGGCGAACGCACATTGGGACAAGAGGGGTGGCATAAAACACCCCTTATACAGCAGTGGAGCAACCCCTTGTGCACATAAGTTCTTAATGAAAGTCCCCACAGGCAGCTGTGAAGGCTTTGCTTGCAGCACTGCACTCCGAGTGCATTTTTTTTAACCGCCTAGCAAAACGACATCGCCTTGGTTAAGGCGCTTCCAATTCTTTTTTACAAACAACGTGGCTTTGTTAACCCTCACGGGTTGGCCCAGTGGTAAGGGCGTTTCCCAGGCCCTATGTAAACGGGAGATCCTGAGTTCGATTCCTGCCGTTGGTGAATCAAGCGATGAGGGCCAGGGACGGGGTGAAATTCCCTATAGCCTCTCCGGGTCCCGGAAGGGGTGGATGGCCCCCAGCTGTCCCCCTTTAAAAAAAAAAAAAAAAAAAAAAACAACGTGGCTTTGTTGAGGCATGCTTTGAAAAAAACAAAAAAGCAGTAGCTCTTTACCCGACTCCACACCCCCTCAAACTAGGGGTGGGAACTCAAACCGGCGAACCAGAAATCCGAGCCGAACCAAACTGGAAAAAAATTGAGTTGGCCAAAAAGTCAACAACAGGTCAAATACCGAATCGGATCGGTTTGGACCAGTTTTGGATCCGATTCCATGTCTTCAAAAACCGGATCGGGCCAAATTAAAAAATATATAATTTAAATATATATTTATATTTAATGCTATATTTTTAATTTCCCAAAAAAAAACTAATATTTATCCAAGTTCAATTTCAAATATCTCTATTTTCTAACTTTAATATTTATTTTTATATGGAATTGAATAATTTGTTAATTTTCAAGTAAAAATAATAATATTTCTGTTGAGAATTGTATTAAAAAAATAATTTTTATAATCCGATTCAAAATCGAACTAAACCGAAACCAGACTAGAACCGGTTCAACTCAAACCGGACTGGAATCGGTTCAACCTGAATCAGACAGTTTTTGAATTTTTTTATTATTAAAACCGAACCGGATGAATAATACCAGATTGATTCTAATTTGAAGCAAAAACCAGTCCAACCCGAACCGTGCCCACCCTTACCTCAAACACTCAATTCCCAAATTATTTTACATTCCCACTACTTCTCAAACCCTGAGCCCTAATTCCCACCACCACCACTTCGTCGGTGTTGACCAGTGAGTGACCATTTCTTGCCGTCGCTGCACTCAACGGCCCTTGCGCCACCACTTTCTTTTATTTCAAGTAGAAGTTATATTTTTAATTAATTGATGAATAGAAATTAGAATTATCCAAATCAATTTTTTTCCCCTCCCAAGATAAGTTGAACTTAGGTTCCAGAGTTTATGATAAATTGAAATCATTCAAATATATTTGTCAAATAATAATAAAATTTGGAAGAGAAAAGATAGATAAGAAAAATGACTCTCTTAAAAAAAAATTTGGATACGGATCCTGGATTCGCCATTAGCAGAAAGCCCTTCACTGAAGCTGTTTTGTTTTCCTTTACCTTCAATTTTCAACAAGTACTGCACAACATATAATGAATAAACATACAATATTTATATACCTTATTGGAAGTAACATAATCATCCAATTTACTTCATTGAAAAAAACCTTACATCACATATAGCTGTGAGGCATGCTTAGCACTGCGATTGTTAACAAAACGATGTCATTTGTGCACTTGGAGTGTTACAATATTCTGGAACTTCGATGGTAGCAATGTAGCGGAGGGAATCTATACAAGCATTGTGAGTTTAACCAAGGAAAGTTGTTTAGCATATTCTGGTTATTTCTCAGTACGACACTTTGTTTGCATTTGTACATTCTAAATACGAAAATTGGAGGTATGAACTGATGTGCAGTCAGGTATATTCTAAAATTTGCAGGCTTATTTTTCTAACCCCATAGGTTGCGAAGGAGGCAAATTGATTTTATTGGGGGCTGGTTTGTTTGTCGACATGGTTTGAGCAGAAGTAGATGGTGCCCTTAGCGTGAGTGACGTCTAGCAAAATGTCATGGTTGCCCAAGCCAATATAGAATATGGTTGTGAACCTATTCAGTTGAAACTACCGTGTAATACGGTCCTTCTCTAAATCAATGCTCTTGGTCAAGCTATTATGACATGGAATTCATGTCAAGCCCTAAGCGTGCTTTATAGGCTCATGTGATTCATTAGAGCATGATCGCAATATATCTATTATTGATCTAGCTCGTTTCTTTGGCCAAAGACCTCTGACTCACATCTTTTGAGCATTCTCCTCCTTTACTGAAGATAGAGATCCCTTGTTTTACACTCATATGCGTCCATGAATTGATCATGAACCCTAGTCATATCTTTGGGTTGTGCCCAGAGGAACACGACACTTCAACATGGTTAAGGGCCCACGACACTTCCATGAGGCAACTTGTGGTGCCTCAGGTCAATGACTAATTTACACTATTCCAACTTGAGAGATATTGACTGATATGTAAGTAAAACTTCCATTCAAGCTGACTTTGTTGATCGCATTAAGTGAATTCATTCTCAATTGAACACCCATACACTTATCTTAGTGTCTCTACATGAATGGGTCGAGACCAGTCATCTTCCTAATTGAGCAGATATAGTGCATGATGGTCTTTGCGGATATCAATTCCCAGTTGATTATCTTATGACCACAAACTCTTTAGGATGGGGACATGGTACATAAAGGTCTCCTGAACTTAACTTCTTTAAGTCACTTTCTATGTGTCACAATCCATGGACTCGTTGGTTAAGTAAATAACCAAGACTATTACTCAAAACAACATCATGCCCATAATTAATTAAGTGAAATATCCTTAGAGTTTACATCTCATGATTGGCCCTAGGGCATACTTCTAACAATCACGGTCACAAGACATAACCACCATATCGTGATGATCCAATTCCTGAAAAAGCGCAATCCATTCCCCAAAATAATTTATCAGGGATTTTCCTTTCTATTTTATAGCAAATGCCTTTTGACTCAAGGAAAACACGCGAATTTCATCGGCTCCATCAAAGAACGTCGTTGAAAGGACATCCCAAATCTCACTCGCCATCTTTAGGGAGATGTAACGCTTCATAATTTCTGGTGTCATGGAGGTCAACAACCAACTCTTGACTTTCTGGTTTTCAACATACCACTTGTCGTACTTGGGATTTGTCTCGGGGGGTGCCTTCTCTTTGCCACAAATATACCCCAGTTTTTCTC